CTCTCTGTGTGTCACCCTCCTCACAGTTACAGTCACTCTCTTTCTCACTGTTGGGACTAAGTATTGGGATAGTGGTGATTACGACTATACTAAAGATCATGAATATGCTAAAAACCACAGACATGTGCACTTGAGAATAATTAAAATGGTGAGTTTTTTTCCCCTGGTGAGTTTTCCCCCAATAAAAAAAAATAAATAAATGAGTGCCATGTGACAGAAAGAAAACTGGGGATTCATGTTCGTGATGGGGTGCTAACCCTCTGGAAGAGAGTCTGTGTCCCCCACTTGCTCTTTGTCAAAAGGTGAATTGTTATTCTCTGACCCACAGCGGGGCCCAAACATTCTTGCTTGGCTGCCTTTTTGCTCCGTGGCTCAAAGCATTTTCATGGTTCTCATCCACTCGCTTTGATCTCGGCCACCGTGGGTTGTGTGAGAAGTTCAGGCCTGGAGAGGAGGGCTGTCTATTCTGAGGTCACACAGCAGCTCAATAGTGGGGCTGCCCCTCGAACCGAGGACCTTTCAGATTAAAAAAAAATTTTTTTTTTCACGCTTATTTATTTCTGAGAGACAGAAAGAGACAGAGCACGAGCAGGATAGAGGCAGAGAGAGAGGGAGACAGAATCAAAGCAGGCTCTAGGCTCTGAGCTATCAGCACAGAGCCCGACACAGGGCTTGATCCCACGAACCGCAGGATCATGATCTGAGCCGAAGTCAGATGCTTAACCGACTGAGTCACCCAGTCACCCCTCAAACCCAGGACCTCTCAGACCCATCGCAGCCACGTCTGCAAAGCCTGGTGCTCAGGTCGGGCAGTGACTACTGACCTGAACCCTGCCAGGGACCAAGAACACCGCGGCTTGACACACGCTGTGTTAGAGCAGGCCCCAAGGTGACGTGGCACCCTTGACGCTCAGGCTGGCGATGGGAGCAGAACACAAAGGAACAGGGAAAGGAAACAAATGGTCCCGCTGTCACCCTGCACCAGGCACTCCAGAGGCCCTTTGCTTGGTACCTCTCGCCACTCTTTTAGCTAATGCCTCCCGAGGGCCCAGTCTGTGCCGATCGGTGGGTGTTTGGGATACTGGGTGGTGAGAATGCCTACCCCCAGCAGCTCATGATTTATTGGGGAGACAGGAGACCTGGGTTCTGTCCTGACCCTGCCACGGATTTGCTGAGACTTCAGATGCATCAGCTTCCATACCTATCCAGAGGGATGGAATCAAAGAAGGCAACTGGGCAGTCTGGACAGTCTACCAGGCAGCTGGACAGTCATAAACGCCACGCACTTCAAGGGGTCATGTAAAGGGAGGCCTCTTGCACAGGAAAGCCGACAGCAAGGTAAGCAGTACACGGAGACACTCCCAGGAACCGCAAGCGGGAGAGTTCCTCTTCACTAGGGATGGGAGCATCTGAGATCAAGCCAGGGTACCAACCTCAAGTGAAGGGCAACGCACACACATTCTGGGTATGACCGTGCGTCCAAGGCCCGACTGTCACATGTTTGATAGCTCAAATAACTGAATATCTGCATTTCCTGAGGCAAAACCAACCGGGTGCTCTGATGCTGAGTCCATGGGATTCTAGAGGATTCCACGAATGGCAAATAGTAGTACCCATCTCATGAGACTGCTAGAGGTGTTAAAGGAATTAGCACACGTATGTGCAGCAAGAATAGCCAAATATGTGGAAGCAGTTACAGGGAATAGGGATTAGAGTGAGGCAAACTCCTAATCATCCCTTAAGACCCTGTCCTGGTGCCCTCTCCCTTTTGAACCATCCCTGAGTAATGTAGATTCAGCTACTTCAGCCACGTCATCCCTCCATCACTGCATGTATCACTCTGTACCATAATTATCCATCATTCTTTTCTCTGAGCTTTGCACTCGCTGAGCCCTGGCAAACAGTATCTTTCCTCAAGCAGTTTGGTGTCCCTGAACTGAACTTGCTAAAGCCTGAACGAAGGATGGCTTTGGCATGCTGAAACTCATTGCAGCCTACTCCTGTTTTTCATTCATCCATTCCACAAAGATCTTTGGGCTCCTCTTCGTGGTTTTTTTGGGACTCAGTTTACCTTAAACGAATTCCATCCATCATAATGCTGCATTTAATTTGGGATGGGAAGGAAGGAGACAAATGGATGGTGACAGTGATGTGTTAGGATGATGAAACATTTCCAGGATGGTGGAAACAATCCATACCACACAGGAATACCGGATTGGAAGTATTATAATAAATGGAAGTATAAGAAATGATAATTTTCCATAGAAGAACGTATAAGAGAATTTCTGTTACAAAAAAGGAATTTTTTTTTTCCCTGTAGAAAATTATTCTACCAATTATTCTCTGAGGGTGAGACATAGTGTGTCCAACATCTGAGAGATCTCTCTGTGCCACTGACTCCCCTTCCCTTTCCCCAAACGCAAGCTGAATATTTCAGTGACCTGTTTGGAACACTGGCATCATCCAGCATCACTGGACTTCTGTAACCTGGGCATTTTCCAATGTGTTCCATGCTGTCAACATTCCCCAGCTTCCTGGACCCCTGCCACCAACTGGAAAACTAAGAGGCCAGACGGGAATTAACCAGAGCGCTCCCTGCTGAGGAAAAAAAGTACCCAGATGCTGAAATCCAGGCAATGTGGCTTAGCTAAATAAAATCTGGCTCCACGATGACTCCTGTATCAGACCCCACCCCCACCCCACCCTGCTGATCAGCTGCCGCCAAAGACCTGGGACCAGGAAGCAGTCGGTTTACGGAGGATGCACCACATAGGGTGATGTAACAGCAGGAGCAGGTCACCCACAGACCAGGAGCCCCAGTCACAAATTAGCAAACTCTACACCCAGCTGGGGACACTCCCTTTGGAAACAAAAAAAACCAGACCTTTATGCAAAAACGGCTCCCTGGATGACACCGGGTGGGTATAAATACAACTTAGCTGCCAGTGTGCTCATAACTTTGCGGTCAGTTGAGCCTGAGACTTTCTGGCCCCAAAGAACTCAGCATCGCTGGTCTGAGACCTCTCGGTCACCCTCGGTGAGGCGCCCGGGCAGTTTGAAGTGGTTCCCAAGGCCTCAGGCACAGGTCTCCCCCGCGTGCTTGTCCGTACCCTGCTGAGGCAGCGTGGCCAGCGGCACGGTGAGGTGAGCTGTCTTCATTTCTGGGGAAGCTACTGTTTTGAGGGGGTTTTGCTTCTTCTGGTTTGGGAAGGTCCAGAAAACTGTGGGAATTTTCTGCCTACAGAGATAAACTGGTGGAAATCTAAGAAATGCCCACGTGAGGTTCGGCCACTTGGAAAGGGCATCTTGTTTAGATTTTTTTCCCTGCAAAATTTGCTACAGTTCCAGGAAAACCTTTCTGGCAAATTCAGATTGGAGAGCGGGGAGAAATCTGCTAGGAATCTTTATACAGGCGATCCTACTCAATCCTTTTTTTTTTAAATTTTTTTTTTCAACGTTTATTTATTTTTGGGACAGAGAGAGACAGAGCATGAACGGGGGAGGGGCAGAGAGAGAGGGAGACACAGAATCGGAAACAGGCTCCAGGCTCTGAGCCATCAGCCCAGAGCCTGACGCGGGGCTCGAACTCACGGACCGCGAGATCGTGACCTGGCTGAAGTCGGACGCTTAACCGACTGCGCCACCCAGGTGCCCCCTACTCAATCCTTATAATGTGTGCCTCTCCCCTCGCAACTGAATTCTGTTGAGTATTATTAAGCCCATTTTACAGATGAAGAAATGAGTCTCAGGTAAATAACTCAATCCAGGTCATGCAACTAGTAGACCCAGGACTTGAACCCAGATTTGGGCACCTCTAAGATTCCTACATGGGCCACATCACCACACTGCCTTCCAACGCAGAGGGTTTTGCCATTGAGAAGGCGTGCTGGGGGCTAGCCTGGACCAGACCTGGCCCTCCACTTAGGTGTCCCTTTTTTGCCCTTAAAAAAAAATTTTTTTTTAGCATTTATTCATTTTTGAGGGACAGAGAGAGACAGAGCAGGAGTGGGGTAGGGGCAGAGAGCAAGGGAGACACAGAATCCGAAGCAGGCTCCAGGCTCTGAGCTGTCAGCCCAGAGCCTGACGCAGGGCTCAAACCCACGAACTGTGAGATCATGACCCGAGCCAAAGCTGGATGCTCAACCAACTGAGCCACCCAGGCACCCAGCCCTTTTTTTTTTTTTTAAATTTTTTTTTTTTTAACGTTTATTTATTTTTGAGACAGAGACAGACACAGCATGAACGGGGGAGGGTCAGAGAGAGGGAGACACAGAATCTGAAACAGGCTCCAGGCTCTGAGCTGTCAGCACAGAGCCTGATGCGGGGCTCGAACTCACGGACCGAGAGATCATGACCTGAGCCGAAGTCGGCCGCTTAACCGACTGAGCCACCCAGGCGCCCCCACCCAGCCCTTTTTTAAAGGAGGTGATCTCCAGTGTTGAGGGTTGAGTGCACTTTTTCACAAACAGTTCTACAAATGATCTCACAAACAATGATTCTCTCCCCTCCGCTGCCCGTGCTTTCTCCAATGGCAGGTGTAACATGACAGTTGCTAGTTAGACTACTGGGAGTGACCTTGCAGGACCAGGCAAAGGCACCCATGTTTCAGTGCACATGGGCTCCTCCCCACCTTGCCCCGGGGTCAGGCAGGCCAGCAGGTCCTATGAAGGAGGTTCACAGGGTATATGTGCTTTGCGATCGCTATGCTATGGATTCAGTGTTTCTCCTTCAGATTGTCATGCAGCTTTGTAGAACTAAAATCTATGTCCACGGATCCCCAGATCCAACCTCAAAATAGGAACGGAGATTGCAAGCATGGATGAAGTGGCTGTTTGTGTCAGCTTCTGTCCCGATTCCGGAGCAAACTCACCGTATCGGGAAGGCTCAGTTCCGTAAACTCTTCCTAACCTGTCACCATCTCCTTTCCCTTCGTCAGCCCCGTCGGTGAAGAGCCTCCGAGTTTCAATCCAGATAAGTGACCTGCTTTGCAAAGCATAGAGATGGCCTGTCCCTGGCAGTTTCTGTTCAAGGCCAAATCCCACCAGTACAACTTGACTGAGGAAACAGACATCAACAACAATGTGGGGAAGGCCGTCCGGGCCCCCTCTGGGTAAGCTCTTCCCTGTTACCACCTGCTGCTTGTCTTCCCCGGGGCTTCCATTCCCTGCCCTGTGCGCCAACTCAGAATTCCTCTCCCTGTCTCTGGCGTCTCACTGGAGGTCTCAGATGTCCCCATAGGAATTCAGCGCAGGCACTCTTTAGTGGACACCTCATCGCGCCTGACACTATGTGTAGAAGGAAGGGACATGGCACAATCCTGGCCCTCAAGGGTTCTGGAATCTCTGGGGGAGGAATATGGGAAGGGAGTATGGAATATCTGACTTGAGAGGAAGAGGCAGTGGGGCCCAGTGGTTAGAACAAGCAACATCCCGGCTGACGTTCGATCCCATTCTCTCTGGTGTGCAGGCTTCACGAACTGGTAGATATTTTGAATATCAGCCTGAAGGGTAGCAGGACATTAGACAAACCGTATCCAAGCCTTCTGCTGGGCTGTGCCAGCTGGCCCCGTGCTGTCTCTTCCCCTGCTGTGTGACCTCTCTGATGCTCAGACACAGCAGGAAGACACCAGTGGGACCCACCCCGTAGCCGGTTGAGGATGACACAAGAGTGTGCATATAAAACACTTAGCAGTGTGCCCATACGTAGACACACTTGATTAATGGTAGGGTCTCTTATTATCTATTGGGCAACCCGAGTTACTGAGTAACTCTGTGCCAGGGTCATACAGGGCACTTCACGTGCGTTGCATCTCAACTGATCTCCACAGCCGCTCCGTGGAGTGTGGGTCATTGTCTCATTTTACAGATAAAAAAATAGAAGCTCCAAGAGGGAAGTGACTCCCCCCAGGTCACACGACTGGTAATTGATCCCCACCCACGCCCCCACCTGACCCCCAGCCGCCTGTAGGAGAAGCAGGCCAGAGACAGAACTGAGAGAATTAGCCAGCTAACCAGCCAGTCAGTGAACAGGCTTCCAGAGCATGCTAGAAAAGTCCAAAGCCTCAAACTGGAGGAAGTAGAAAGACAAGTTAATCTGCATTAACATGATCTTATGAATCAGAACAAAGCCCCAGTCCACACGGAGCTGCCACATAGCCCCGCAGCCCCCAGAGAAGGTTTCCCGTGGACACCGGTGGGCAGGATGGCAACCTTGAACGCACCTGCCAGAGGCCACAGAAGAGTGGCAAGGTTAAGAGCATGGGCTTGGAGAGAAGCAGGTGGCTTTGCCACTTAATAGTCCTGCGGCCTTTGGTAAGTCCCCTGGCCTCTGAGCCTCTGTTTCCTCACCTGTAAGAAGGGGGTAGTATTGCTTATCCCCTGGGGTCGTGGTAAGCATGAAATGAGTTTTCGGCTCAGCCCTGTGCCTGGCAGAGAGGAAATGCTCCGTAAATGGCATCTGTTGTGGTTGTCTCTGTTTTCGCGGATGGCAGCTAGGACGAGGTCGAGCGATGTTGAACAGGGTCCCCTCCAAGGGCTTCACAGAAGCGAGGTGGGCTCGGCGGACTCGCAGAGAGGGTAGAATGTGGGGAGGTCAAGACAAGTAGCAAAGACATTGCAGGAAGCGGGTAGCGTGGGCAAAGATTCAGACAGAAGCCAGCATGACTGTGTTGGGGGCTGCCATAGGAGAGGCAGGGAGCCGCTGCAGGTTCTTGAACAAGACAGTCCCCGTGTGGGGTGTGGGTTGAACTGGAGGAGAGCAACATTGGAAACCAGGCAGTCTGCGCTGTGGTGGCCAAGAGACCGAGAGATGAGAGTGCAGGGTTGGACAGCCTCTAGATGTCCTCCTGGCACTTCAAGACTCAAATGCTGCAGACCGACAGCAGCAGCATCCTCCCGGGATCTCAGGAGGTCACCAAAGCATGTGTCCCTTCCTTCTCTTCACGTCCCACCTGCAGCACCCCCCTCTCACCACCCCAGCTCCAACCTCTCTTACTCCATGACTTCTAGCAAACCCTGCTTCTGCTCTAGAGTCTACAGTGGCTCCCCATGGCCTGGCATCATGCTGACGCTTGACTGTGGCTGTTCCATATGACCCCAATCCACCCCCCATCTTTTGAGATCATCCTGAATGCCCCTCCTCTCCTAGCCCATCAGTGTGGCCTACTGCCTTGAGCCCCAGATCCCACACCTTCTAATAGCACTGACAGTTAGTCCTGATTTGTGTTTTGGGACCACTCAGGAAACCTGAGTTGTAGGTTGACTTGAGGCAAACTAGCTCACTTTACTCATCTTTTTAAGCCGGGGTGAGATGATGGAAGTACTGACATAGGTATCAGAGGTGATGGAGAGAAAATATCACATTTAATTCATTTAACCCTCTTAACACTTCACAAGAAAGGACCGTTCGTTATCCTCCCACTGTAGCCATGAGGACACGAGAGCCTAGGAGGTTTGAGTAAAGTTTTTTAAGATTTATTTATTTTTAAGAGAGAGAGAGAGAGAGGGAGAGAGAGAGAGAGAGAAAGCAGGGAAGGGGTAGAGAAAGAGGGGGACAGAAGATCTGAAGTGGGCTCTGTGTTATCAGCGCAGAGCCCAGTGTAGGGCTCGAACTCACAAACCGC